CAGGAATCGCGTATGCTAGGCGCTTGAGGAGGAGGTGTCTGGCTTGATGACTTAGATCAAGCGCCAAAGGCTTGAAACTCTTACAGCAGCAACACTGGAAAATAGGGTCATTGTTTAAAAGAAAAATCCCTTAGTTTGGAAAAAAATGTTTAAATGACATGAAGGAGAAAGATTCTGAACTTGAACGAATTTAATTTCTCCCTAATTATGAGCTATATAAGGGAAAAAATTGTTCAGGATGTTGGCAGAGCTTGCAGTGTTGGCGTTTTGCTCACTCAGTGCCACTGGAACTAATGAGAGTGGGAAAGCGGTCCCTGTGCTGAATTACAATGGCTTGTTAACAGGTGAGTGTTCTCTACCAGCAGATCTGGTGAGGAGACTTCTGTCAGAGTCCAGCTATGACATTAGTCCTTCACACTTGTAAATGCTAAAAGTTCACTGCTTGCTACGACCATTCTTGTAAAGAATCTAAGTGAAAAGTTGTCATCTTAAGATGACTTAAAGCATTTTTATTCTTTCTCTAGATGTACAGAGGCTTCCAGATAATGCCACATGTTCAGTACATCTATACAGAAGCCTCTGAGAGTCTTTGTGGAGTCAAGCTGGAGGTCAACAAGTACCAATATCTGATTACAGGTAAAGGACAATGTACTTCTTCGTAATCAGATGCTCTTCTGTTCTGTGCATACACCTGCTAAGGACACGGGCAGCTGTCTAGACATCTCTATTCGCAGCTTCCCAAGTGTTAAGATGGTGCATAATATTTTGGTGTTCAGTGTTCTTCAACGCTGAGAGTCATTTCATTCTCTATATTTCCCTTCCTTTCCTAAAATGTCTCTTAAACCAAATGATGTTGTGACAAATATGCTGTACAACAGCCAGCAGCTGTCAATTCATACCTGGGCTGGCATGTCTGTCACAGGGAACTGCTCGCTACTCAGCTGAGTCAGAAATGGAAGATCCCTTTTGGAATGAGCTGGGGAAATACAGGCTGTTGAGATGGGGGGGGATGCAAGGAGATAGAGATGTGGCAGTTGCTGAGTTGTATTTCTAGTGAAAGCGTCCATTCACTTAGTTTTGTTCTGTTGTTCAGAGCAGCTTGACAGCATTACTCGCCTGCACGTTGTTGCTGGTGCTTACAGCTGGCGCAACGCTCCTAACTTACCAGACTTCTGTAAGCTTGCTGGCCAGAGATTCCTGAACCAGTTAATAAAAAGAAAGCAGTTGCTGAGCAGTGGCTGAAGCCAAACATATTGAGAGCATTAGCAATCTCTGGAAACAGGAAAAGTGCTTGAGCTGAGAAGTGCTAACATGTCTCTGTTTTCAAGGCCGCGTGTATGAAGGGAAGGTTTACACTGGCCTGTGCAACTGGTATGAGAAATGGGACCGGCTGACTCCATCCCAGCGTAAAGGACTGAATCATCGTTATCATCTGGGCTGTGGATGCAAGGTATGTGCTTCTCTAATTAGGTGGCGTTAAGACATTCAGACCCTTAGAATTCTTTTTTCCCTGGCTGGTAATACAAATGATGCTGGTGAACAACCAGGAAGAGAAATGGAGGATGACACTTTTTACAGAGAGAAAGTAAAGCTCAGCTTTAGAGTTGAGACCAGAGAAGAGAGAATCAAATAAAAATGCGGAGTCTATGCCTTTTTAATGCCCTGCCGGAGTTAACTGGGGTTGGGGAAGGCTTTCAGAATCCACGCAGAATCATTTGTGGGTAGACGAAATCAGGTACCAGGGGCTTGGCAAGATATGTTGAGCTTTTGTCCTGTGTAAGCATTTTGAGTGCTTAACCTCTCAGCCTGGCACTGAGATTTTTGCTCATGGCCCCAGGCTTGCAAACACATAGACACAAGCTCAACTTTTCTGCACTTGAGAAATTCTTTTGACTCTGGAATTACCTGTGTATGTGAAGCTAAGCACATGCTTACCTGCTTACTGAACTGAGACTGAATTTTGGGTTAGTAAGCAAGGTTTGAGGGAGTGGAATTTTGAATCCTTTGCCTCTGGTATAAAGACACTTTATATAATGTTGTTTTCCATGTAGCCTTACCTGGTTGCTCTTTACAATTGCAGATTAGGCCCTGCTACTATCTGCCCTGCTTTGCCACCTCCAAGAATGAGTGTATTTGGACAGACATGCTCTCCAACTTTGGCCACTCAGGATACCAAGCGAAGCACTATGCCTGCATCCAGAGGGTGGAAGGTTACTGCAGCTGGTATAGAGGATGGGCACCTCCAGATAAAACGATAATCAATGCCACAGATCCCTGAGCACGTTACCCTTCCTTATCTCCCCTCTCCCTTACTTGTGGCTGATCTTCCTTTTGGACACTAACTCTTACCAGATCATGATGATGACAATGAAATTAGTGCCTGTTTTCATGCAAATTTTAGCACTTCGAACACTTAAAAAAGAAAAGGAAAAAAGAAAAAAAAGGAAAGAAAAGAAAAAAAATCTGTGCTACCTTACTGAATTTGTAATCAGCTTTTCCATTTTTGATACCACTCATTTTGATCAGATGACATTTGGGAGCTTACTTTTGCACACCAGAGGGAAAAATGGGAGGGGAAAAAAAAAAAGAAAAAAGATGGAGCTCTTGCTCTTTTACATGTATCATTAGCTGTAGCAATATAATCTCTATTTTTTTAGGAAAACAAAAATCTAAAAACTATGCCAATTAGGCACTGTATTCTTCTGTGCGCTGGCTTCCCGTCACCCCTCCTCATGCACTAAGTGCTGAAAATACGTACACAAATCTCTTTGAAGGAAGACAGGTTTCATTAATCAGATTGGCAAGTGAAACAAACTGAAAAGAAACCCAGCCTAAACTCTGGAAAAAATGACATCCAAAAGAAATCCTCCTCCGCTGGGAGACATCAGCAATGTGATTGATTCCAGCAGTGGGAGAATTCACCTGGTGTGTCTGACCACATAATCTGGTAAAAGCATTGTTGACTGATTGTCCTGGCTAATTCAGTCAGTGTGAATGCAACAGCATGTTTGAAGTTCTGGCTTTCCCCAGAACAGAACAGAGAGTATTTTGTATTTTTGTTGTTTAAAAAACAAAAGCCCCATCCCCTATGTTCAGGGAGGTAAATCCACCTACAGCAGAGCAGATGAAGCGCTGTGCCATCCTGTTTTGAGCAGCATTGGCCCCTGAAATTTTCACAGCTTAGCTTCAACAGCAAAACCAGCTTGTGAACACCTTAAACCAAACAGATGCAAAAATACCAACAGTAAATCAATCACATGAAAGAGGGAAAGGGGAGACTTGCTAGAGCTCTTACTATAAAAAAAAAAAAATCTATTGCCAAAATAGTGTTTTGCTGAACTAAGATGTATATACACATAATGACATAAGCTATTTTTGACAGAACGTGGAATTTTTTTGGTGTTATAAACAAAAGAATGATTTGACTGTGTTTTAAAGACAGAAATATTGACATTCCGAGTCAGTGAATTGTTTTTAAGATATTGAAGCTCCAGTGTATCTGCAGTAGTGGCTACAGTCGTTTCCTCTCTGCCTCCTTGCACCACAGTTCCTCCCCTGCAGCTACACTAGCTGCATTTGTTTATATAGGAAAAGGAAGTGTAGTGGGGGGGGGGAGCTAGGCACGGAAAAGTGGTCTCCTAAAAAGTGCTGGCTGGGATCATAAACTTTCAGCTGCCCAGAGGACTCCTCCTGTGTCAAGTGCTGTGTTTCCCTCTAGGCACTGTTAAGCATAGCTCTGTGCATGTGCTCGTACCAGGTCCTGCAGTGATGTGGGAGGAGGAGCCGTACTGTCCTGTGCTTTGCTGTTGACTGGAGAAGTTTTTTCGTTCTATTTTGTATTTTTTATTAAGAAAACTATAATATAATTTTTCTTATCAAATAAAAGTATTTTAAGTTTTAATGATGGTGAAGAAGGGGTGCTGACAAAATGGGTGACTGAGTTTTGAATGGGGAGGGCTTGGGCAGGGAGAAGATTATGCTTAACTTTTTTTTTTTGTATTATTATGATTATTTATCTTAAGTTTCCATATATCTTCAGTTCATTCCACTTAGAAAGCAGAGCTGCCACCAGCAGGAAAAAGTGTTGCAGTGATTCCAGCTCAGGGCGATACAGCATTTTGCAGTCAGTGACCCCAATTACTGGAGGGTTGTTTGGGGCCTCTTTGTCAAATGGAAAGGAAGAGGTGCCTGAGATGGGCCCTGATGCATTTTTACGTTCCGTGCGTGCTACCAGAGCTCTGCCAAGCCAAAACCGTACGTCCCCTGAAATGCCCCATTTACTAGGTGAACTGTTGCAGCAAAATACGTGTAGCTTCATTTTTAACATGAGCTTTAAAGGGCATTTTCAAAGAGCTGATGTAAGAGATCCCTAGGTCTGCTGTGTATTTTTTTTTTTTTTTTTCAGCTGCTCTGAGTAGCAGTGCAGCCCAAAACACAGTGAAAGTCTGTTGGATTTTCCTGTGATTAAGGCTTGGAACGCTTTTCAGAAGTCCTCTTCCCTGTGACTACTCCTAAATTATGGGTTGGAGATGAGAGGGAGAGTAGGGTGCTTCACAGCACCCATCACAGGCTCAGACAGTGGGTCAGAATGTTGCCCCCTTTGGCAGAGGATGGGGTTGGGCTTTGGGCACAGTGGAGCAATCTCTGTTCGAGCTGTGCATGACTGACAAAATCTCTGAAGGTCACTGAGGGCAGAGCGGAGCCGGCCTCGCCACCCTGCCTGTTTGCATCGCGTGGAGTCGGCATCGCTGGAGATGGCCCTCCTTGAGCTCAAGGCGGCTTCGCAAAACTGCCGTCTCTGAGCTGCAGCCACTTTTCGTGGCTTTGGAAGGCTAAATGGAAACGCCCTTCGATGCAGTGAAGTGTTGATTTGAATTTTCATTAAACTGCAGCTCTGCATGTTTTACCTGTCACTGATTCATTTAGCTAGCTGAAACATCACAGTATTGCACTCAAATTATTGTGAAAATATTTGCATTCTAATTCTATGAGGACTTGTGTCCCAAGTAGGATATAATGTAGCTATGTGCTTTGTAAACAGCAGAACAGCAGATGCATTACCAGAAAATGAAGCGTATTCCCATTTTATATTGCCGACAGTAAAATATTTCTGAGATGCAGACAGCTAGACCAGCAAGGGTGGGAGTTTGGTAGCAAATCTTTCCCCTTGCTGTGTAAAGAAACAGTTGTTAAGGCTTTTAAAAAAGTGGAGCCAAAAGGTGGGGGAAGAATCGAGTAAAAATACATTTCTTTTGGGAGGCTTCTTAATTTTGTTTCTGTGCATGCTATCAGGGACATGTGTTTCTTGGGCTAAGCTTTAGCTTGTGCTTGCATTAAGAACCTGACCAAAGGCTCCCTCGAAGTTAGAGGGAGCCATTGAAATGGATTGAACAGGCTCTAAATCAGAATCAAAGGCTTCTTCCTTTCTGTCTGCTCTCTTCTGTCTTGCTAAGTCACTTCTGCCTGCCAATGGACAAAACTCTCTCCCTCGTTACAGCAGGCCATGCAATATGTGGGAACACTGGGCATGGGGATGTGAGGAGGCAGGTGTGAGGTTCTCCCCAAAATGTTAGGCCATGGAGCATGCAATGGCTTGCAGCAGCACAGATACCTTACGGTCACCTCTGGTGTGCTCCTCACTTCACCCCATAACTGAAGGTCAGAGGAACTGTCAATGGCACAGCTCATGTGAACACGACCTTTGGACATGTACAGGATGAGGGCTTCCCCCCACCCTCCTCTATGCTTTAGATAAACCAACATTATTAAAACCATAGCTCATTTCTAGACTGTTGCTGTTTGCTTTCTTATTTATAGATATTTTCCCTTATTTGCTTGAGTGCTTTCCTCTTCAGAATTAAAAAAAAAAAAAAAGGAAAAATATATTGAAAGTTTGGGAAAGATTGGATTTGATTTTTCCTTTTCCAAAATGGAGGGGTAGAGAGCAGGAGATCTGTGCATGGAGTACCTTGAATAAAGCCTTCTTGGGGGAGGCTTCCCTCTCCCCTGTATGGGATAAAACTGCCACTTCAGGTCTAAATTTCCCATGTTTTGAAGAGTTGTATGGCCGTTTAGGTAGGACTATTCTAAAACCTAAATATATCACCCTATCCCATTCATACTTGGCTGGAGTGAAGTGCTACCTCACGGTGATGGGTAACATGCTGTTGTGTTTTTTACAGTAAAGACTGTTTGAAGTAAAGGCCTCCATGGGAACAAGTTTCCATTCTTTCAGATGTCTCTGAAAGTATATCTCACTTCTAAGCTATAAAATATGTTATAAGGGCAGAACAAAATCTAGGGAACCGCAAACTTTTTTTTTTTTTGTCTTTTTTGAACAAGTGTCGTTTGGGGCTACCAGTCTTGAGAAAAATCTTAAAAATCCACTAAACGTTTGCTGCTGCTTTGCCTGTGCTGGCTTCTCATTCTCTCTGCCACTGTCCTTCCTTTGTAGAGCCACTCTGCTGTTCCTGATAGTCATGGAAACTTGGGGAGGGAACCAAACCCGTGTGAAAAAATCTTGTCCAGAAGGAATGTATTTGTTGCTAAATTTTCTAGCACTGTTTACAGTTTTCCTCCATGTTATTTATAAATTTTATATTCAGTGAATGTATATTGTCTTTTAAGGTAATGTTGCATAATGTTCACTTTTTATAGTGTCCTTTTATTCTAAACAGTAAAGTGGTTTTAAATCTATCACAGACATTCTGTCTCTGCTTCACTTATACTAGTTTCTGTCCACTTCAAATATACACAAATGGCTTCGCAAGTGGATTTATTCGTTTCCTTCCCTTTCTTGATACCATTTTATTGGGCCCAAAGCAGATACTCCACCTCTGGCAATTCTTGCTCTTTGGCAAAGACATCCCGCCAGCAGTCCTTCCCTCTTTTTGAAGAGGCTGATGTCTCCAAGAATTGTTACTGGGATCGTAAGCCCAGGAGAGGCAAAAACAAATCCCTTTTGAAGTTAATGTATCCCACTTGTCCACTGGCCATAGGGGGTCAGCACAGAGCGAGGCCGTCGTTACAGCTGTCGCGTAGCACCAGTAGGGCCGTAGCAGAAGGGTTGCCAGATTGCTCTTATTTACAGTAAACCGATCCGGGGGGGGGAGGGTTGAAAGGTACATGCCCGTGGCAAAGAGAAGAGAGATTTATCATTCAGATCTTTTCTGCTGTGAATTGTCTAAGCCTTGTGTCCTCTCTTTAGGTTTAGTATTTAAGGCTGGTTAAAAATGCCCTGTTGTCAGGAGAAGGAAGCTTCAGAGAAAGTGTTCTCAGCTAAATTAAAACACTCACAAAAATGGGTCTACTTTATCACACTTTCACTTTAGGAAAAATCGCTATTTTCTACAAGGATGAAAGAATGAGACAGATTTTTAAATCTGTTCTATGTTTAATCCAAAGGTTTAGAAAGTGAGCTTTGGAAAACTTTGAACCTAGAAGGATGAGGATCCCTTATGTGAGAACTTCATTGCTTAAAGTATATCACATTGCAGAGAGGTAAAACTGTAACACTAAACACTTCCGGGGGGGTCAGCCATCAAAGGACCACACTGTACTTACGAGTGCTGACTGGTACAGCTTGAGAATGCCTCCAGGAAAGGGAAGAAAAAGAGAGGGGAAAGGGAGATCATGATATTCTCATCTGACACATGGAGAAGCTGAGGCACAGTGGGCAAGCAACTTTCACAGGTGCTTGGTGGAGCGACAACTACGGTGGAGCTTGCTTGGTGCAGGCACTTGCCCTCTCAGCCTCTCACAGCTCAGGATACTGTGAAGGTGCACACAAAAAAGGTCTTGAGAAGTTATGTAGATTCAATCCATGAGGTAGACCCCCCCCACCTGGAAAGGGCTGGCCTAAATTTACCCAAGTGGATTGTTGCTTGTGTAAATGTTTGGAAAGCGACTGATTTAAACCGGATTACTCAAGCTTGCATGTCAACAATGGTGTTTGCGTTCAGATGAGCTTATCTACAGTTTAAATAGGTTCTTGTATTCTTTTGCAAGTAAGCAATAGCATCTCCAAGTAGGTGATTGGTTATAACGGTGACAAATATGTGAAATTAAGATCAGTGCTCTGCTAAACCAAAGTATGATGCCAGTAACAAATGCATTTACATGCTGAGGAATCGAGAATCAGATTTCCAGACAAGAAAATAATGCTAAAAGTGCTAGCCTAGCGTATTTTCAATGAAAACCTTAATCAGGTCTTCCAAAAACACTATTCCTGAAGCAATGGTCAAAGTCACAGCTGTTCTGAAGCATTACATATATCACAAAACCCTCTTTATGAATCAGCAGGATTTAAATGCAACAGGATTTATCAACTAATTTGTCTTAAAAGTCTGCAATAAGCTGTCACCTAGTGTTTCAGAAGCATCTATTTCTTTATGTCTTAAATGATCATACAACTCTTAGCACTGCATTACTTGGGTGCTTCACAGCAACTCATGACTGTCCTTACCTTCATGGCCTGCCTGTGACAGATGGAAGTGCTGTTGATCACACAGCACAGGTAGAGAACAGAGTGTTGGAACAGAGAGATGAAGGACCAGCGTTTCAAGGTATTCAGGTACCCAGTGAACACTGGTGCGATTTTTCACAAGAACCTAAATGAGACCTTGTTTTGCATTTTGAAGCTCCCACTCCATGTCTCTATCCACCATCAGGTACCTACACCTTATTATGCATTGTGGTTGACCCACGGTGTTGCAACAAGCGTGTGAGAAGAGGAGTTTGAATGTTTTTGAGCCCCGGTTTGACATCTTAACATCCCTAATCTTCAGGCTGTCACTGCTGCTTGAGTTCAGAATCAAGCGTGGGAAATAAGCTGAGCTAGCCAGCAGCTCACATGGGAGGTCGTGGTTCACACAGGGTCTCTTCAAAGCCTCAGCCAGTTAAGAAGAGCCACTAATTCATGGACGTAAGTTGGGAGCAAAAATCCATGAAGGACTATCCACCCTTTTAATCCAGGGAAAAACAAGAGACATCAACAGTTTTAAACAAAGCCGCTCACTTTGCGATGTTCTCCAGGACTAAAGGCACCTACTCAGATCTCTTTGGAAGGTGCCCTAGGAGTTTGGTAGCATGCCCAGTAGCCACACAGGGCACTGAGTGTTTCGTTGTTGACAGGAAGACTAGACCCCAGAGCTGCTGTGCAAAGGAAACATTAGAAGCTTAAACAACCTCTTTTTCAAGAACTCCAATTAGCTTTGAGTACCTAGTCAGGCTGAAAAATGTTTCATGGATGGCGACCACGTGACAGACCAAGCAAACTGACACTGTGAAACAAACATCTCCCATGTCCCAAATCAACGTATTTTCAACAATTCCACGAGAGGAAAAAATCCACTTTATCTGAATAAAGTGATTCCTTACTCTAAGGGATGAGCCTTTGCTGACTAGATTTTACAATGGATTTTTGTTTTGATGTTGAGCCTGTTCTGATTTTTCACTTTTTCAGAGTCCATACAT